ATAAGCTAAATTCCCTTGTTTTGACATATAAAAAACTATATTTTTCGGATTTAACAGGTTTTAAACTCTTTTGGTACAAAGTTTCAGAATTGTGGCATCACTACAAGCACCATAATAAGGTGAAAGTAAACGGAATGATTTTCAGGACTTTTCCCCCCCCCCCCCCCTCAGTTTTTAGTCAAAATCAAGGAAACTTCAAATTGCTGTAAATTATAAACGGTAAGGAATTTTATGAAAAAAAATTACAATCTTTCCTAACATGTCCATAAACATTGGTGCCAAGTTTCAAAAATTTTATTGATATAGGGTGCAGATTTGTGTTTTTTTTTTGTGTTTTTTGAGAAATTTTTACCCTATAATTAGAGGTGGAAAGTAACAAATTATATTTACTCACATTACTGTAATTGAGTAGCTACTTTGTGAATTTATACTTTTTCAGTATTTTTTAAAATGCGTACTTTTACTTTTACTAAAGTATTTTTTTTCTAAAGTATTGTACTTCGCTACATTTGAAATCAAATGCGTTACTGAGTAAAAAAATTTATTATGTATTGTTTAATTTCACAAATACTATGATTTAATTTTTTTGTTTTTTTGAGTTTCGCTCACTTTAATAGAAAAAAATGTTGAGAGCGCTCATAACAACTTTTAATTGCTTTAGCTTGGTTTCTTTTCACTTTTTATGACCATAAAAAAATTGTAAAGAAAAAAATAGACTACGTGGTTTTTATTTTTTTATTCGACAGCTTTGTTACTAAAAAAAGTAACGCAGTAACTTTTACTCTGAGTACATTTTTAATAAGCTACTTTTTACTTTTACTTGAGTAAATTTTTCGACCGGTAACTTTTACTTGTACTTGAGTAAAATTTCACTCATAATACAGTACTTTTACTTGGATACAATTTTTTTTTTTACTTTTTCCACCTCTGGTTATAATGTATTTTGGTTGCCATTAGACAAGAGATTATTCCTTGAATTTACAGTTTATAAAGTCAAAGTACTTTCAATAATGTCGCCCAAAAAAATGCTTTCTAGTTTAAGAAACAAAGAAATGGTATTGAAGTCAACATTTGCAAATTGAGCATTTGCCCAGCTGGATCATACATTTCTGTTTTTCACAAAGATAAACAAGTTTCCTTATGTTAATCTTATTTATATAATGCATCTTACAATAATAAGTCAAGATTAGGCAAGTTGCGTTACCTTTAGTCCAGTCGTTCTGGGTTAATACACGGAAAAATTCCAAATAAGCTGAAATTTAGCACATACTCTCGTAATATATAGTAACACCCAAAAAAAAACTCGTTGTTAGCCTTTGGGGAAAATGAGTTAATGACATTTTTCCATAATGCTCAATTTCACTTTTTGTTTTAACGTCAGAAAATAGGTTTATACAAAATCACGTTAATTAAAAACGGTTTTGATTTCAAATTTTGACAAATTTAAAATCGTGAAATAACAATTCAAAATTAAAATTACAATTACAAAATATCAAAATACAAAATAAAAATTACTATTTAAATATCATTGCTAAATAAATGTTCAGAGAATCAACAATTAAAACAGAGAATAAACAATTAAAACAAGTAAAACATTCGAATCCAAAACTGATTCGAATGTTTTTAAAATTTTGTGTTTATTTATTTATTTTTCCTAAAGAAAAAAAAAATAAAGTTGAAACCAAAAAACACGTAAAGTAATTAAAATAATATTTCACCTTGAATATTTTTATGTTGACACTTTCCCTTTTATTGATTTTTTATTCTGTTCCTTAGAAGTTTAATAATAACTTTTTTTTCCCAGAAACAATAAATAAAGAAAAAAAGAATGCGTAATCTTTAAAGAAACGGTATCAAATCCAACGACTCTAAGTACAAAGAGATTGAGAAGACTTAAACGTCTTTGCATTAAGGCGAATAAATCGAAAAATTAATTTTAAGATTAAATGAACAAAAATATGTTTGTTTATGAGAAATGTTACCGAATATTTACAGACAAAATAAAATTTACCCCGAATCCAAATAAGAAATTGAGATCATCATTTGACACTTTTGACTGGAAAAACCAGTGTTTTACCTGTGTCTTTTCAAAGAATTTACGCCATCCTGAATAACACAGTGTCAATTGTTACTACACTGAAACTAAAAGAAAATCTAATTGAATGTGTTGCTCAAAGAACTGATGAAATTAAAGACAACTTAAAAATACGCCTTTAGGGGTCATCCATAAAGTACGTACGCTTGTTTTCGTCTACCCCTTCCCCCTCCCCTGCATTTTGCAATACGCTTATTTGAGTACCCTACACCTCCCTAAAAGTACATGCGCTTTTAAACTATTTATCTAAAATTTTATGATAATTTTTTTAATTTAGTTTCTCCTTTCTTTTATAATTGATCCGCTGCCCTCCCATATCATATACGCCATTTGCAGACCCCCTCTTCCCCTCCGAGCGTACGCACTTAATGGACAATCCCCTTACTCATGCAACGACCTCGTTGC